GCCCAGGAGGGCCCCAGGGTGCCCCCCCGAAGCACTCCAGATCGTGACGCGGTCGTTGAGGGAGACAGTGGTTCAATGCGAGGTGGCCCGACGAAGCCCCGGGAGACCCCCAATTTGGGACGCAAAGGGACATACTAATACTGCATGTCCTCCTTGGAGGGCGCGTCGTGGCCAGAAAGCGCCCGCCACGACGCATATACTATAAGATTTCTCGGTGCGCGCGTCGCCCCTGGGGGGGCGACGCACATATAGTATAAGTATGTTGGGGTGACGCCGACCCAGAGGCACCCAGGAGGCTTCCAGAGACCCTCAAGAAGCCCCTGTAGATCTTTCGTGAGGACCCCAAGAGGCTCTCCTAGGAGGAGCCTCCACAAAAAAAAACAAACCAAAAAACAAACAACAACAAAAAAAACTAAGAAGGACGGGGAACGGTTCGCTGGGCAGGGCGAGAACATGGAAGACAAATAGGAGAGACGAGGGAAGGAGAAGGGAAACTGTTATCATGACGACGATGCGGAAAACGGCAACCATGAGTTATCTCTGATTAACCTCTCTCTCATTCCGCCTGCATGCCAAATCTGAACGACCAAGGTGCAAGGCGCGAAGCGCCAGTGCAATGTTGTAGATATCCACCTCTTGGCTCAAAATTGCCAGCCTGATATCCTCACCCTCTGGACTGCAACTGCCGGCCAGATATCCTCGCCCCCTGGCCCAAAACTGCTAGTCAGACATCCTCACCCCGTGGCACAAAATGACCAGGCAGATATCCTCAAATCTTGGCCCAAAACTGCCAGACAGAAATCCGCCGGCCCCCTTGTGGGGCCACCAGGCTGCGAGGCACGGGTTCGCAGTTTCCAGTACCAGTTGTAGCTTGTAGTTTCCAGTGTTACAGTTCTGCTTCTTGCTGGTTACTGTAACTAGTTGATTGACCGCGCGAAGGGGGGGAGGCCCAAACGGGATTTTTAGCACCCCCTGGGCGCGTTGTCTGAATTGCTGGGGGGGCTCGAAATCGACACCCCTCACGCAGATCCGCGGGGTCAGGGTCCAAAAACACAGGGATTTGCCACATTTCTGAAATTCGGTGCCACCCCTCACGCAGATCCGCGGGGTCAGGGTCCAAAAACACAGGGATTTGCCACATTTCTGAAATTCGGTGCCACCCCTCACGCAGATCCGCGGGGTCAGGGTCCAAAAACACATGGGATTTGCCACATTTCTGAAATTCGGTGCCACCCCTCACGCAGATCCGCGGGGTCAGGGTCCAAAAACACAAGGGATTTGCCACATTTCTGAAATTCGGTGCCACCCCTCACGCAGATCCGCGGGGTCAGGGTCCAAAAACACATGGGATTTGCCACATTTCTGAAATTCGGTGCCACCCCTCACGCAGATCCGCGAGGTCAGGGTCCAAAAACACATGGGATTTGCCACATTTCTGAAATTCGGTGCCACCCCTCACGCAGATCCGCGGGGTCAGGGTCCAAAAACACAGGGGATTTGCCACATTTCTGAAATTCGGTGCCACCCCTCACGCAGATCCGCGGGGTCAGGGTCCAAAAACACATGGGATTTGCCACATTTCTGAAATTCGGTGCCACCCCTCACGCACATCCATCGCAAGGCGTGGTAACCCAAACTGCGAGTACTCCCTCGGCCCTTTAATCCCAAGGTGTGGTAACCAAGCTCGTAAACCATACACGTCTTACCAATCGCCCTGTGTGGTAACCCCTCTTGTGATCAGTTGGTTTTGCCGATTGCGAATCGGCCTCGCATGAAGTTCCGATACTGCTGCACGACAGCGCCAAAGCCTCATGACTTAGCTCTTCCATGGCCCATTCTCCGAGAGAGGGGGCTGGCGGCAGGTGGCGAAGCCCTTACGGATATCCGCCCCCCCTGGCCCAAAACAGACAGTCAGATATTTTCACCCTCTGGCCCAAAACAGCCGAACAGGTATCCTCACCCCCCGCAGATAATAATCACAACCACCGAACGGTCAACCCAGGCAGTCAGATGCGAGCTTGCACCTATCACTTGCTAGTGGTCAGCGCAGCTGGCGAAAGACTAAATGCAAGCTACGCCTGGAAAAAATGAATCACGTTAGTGACACGAACCCTCACAAGCTTCCATTGGAAGCACTTCGGTTGCACGTGTTCAAATAATTTGGTTGGAGCCCAGGCCGACGACTTCCACGCCGACTAAGTTGCGAAATGCTAGCGCTTGGATTGCTGGTCGGAACTATCACCAAAACCAACCAAATGTTTTGGAGACGGCGTATTTTTGAACTGTCCTGGGGCCGTTACTTGGGACCGCTAACTTTCCTATAGCTTCTCGTATCCATTCCCATCTTCCTCATCCGTCATCTTACTAGGCAGGAGATGGTTACGCACAGCGACACGAGACCTGAAAACGAAATGCATCCGACTGGTAAACCAAACCAAATGAACAAGCAAACAAACAAACAAACAAACAAACAAACAAACAAACATGTTAAACTAACACC